CTGTAGCTTCTCTACCAGGAGTGGGGCCTTGGAAGTACCTCACCCAGGCATACAGGATATTGACCAGACCGGTCTTGAAAAAGCCTTGTGTAGCATCCACAGCTGTTAGAGCTCATGAGAGCAACTGCCCGGCACATCTGGAAGACAGTTTGGTAGCGGTCCTCTGGGAGCTCTGGCTCTTACCGTCTCTCCGCTGTCTGTGAGACATTTCCTCAGCCTTGGGAGGAAAGAGTATGATATTGATGTCCCCTTTAGGAATGAGCACTCTCCATATACTGACTCACTGTGCTTTAATATATTATTGTTCCCGAAGTAAGCCTCCTTCCACTGCAAAAAGAGGTTTCTCAGAGCTGAAGAGATGGCTCAATGGTTAAGAGCACTGACTGCTGAAAAGGGGGAGTTCTCCTCCTCTGCCATCTGCCCATAGCTTATCAGGTCTCATCAGAATGGCCTGGATCCTCTTCCTCTGTGGCCTGGCAAGGTGGCATCACCAGGGGCAAGTGATCAAAGAGTAGGCAATTGAGTTCATTACAGAGGCAGCGCCTGCTCCCCTTACTTGGGAACCCACATGGAGACTGAGCTGCCAATCAGCTGCATCAGAGCAGGGGGTCTAGGTCCTCTCCATGCATAGTCCTTTGTTGGTGCATCAGTCTCTGCAGGACCCCCTGGGATCAGGTTTATTTTACCTTTGTTGGTCTCCTTGTGGGGCTCCAGTCCCCTCCCGTGCCCTTCTATCTTCCCCCTTCTTCCATAAGACTCCCTGAGCTCTGCTCAGTTTGGCTGTGATTCTCATCATCTGCTTCTATCCCCTGCTGGGTGGAGCCTTTCAGAGGACCCTCTATAGTAGGCTCCCATCCTGTTCCCTCTCTTCCACGTGTCTGGTGTCTATTCAGTTTGCCATTTTGATTTGAGATTTAAGCATCCCCCTTTCAGTGGACTAGAGGAAGGAGATAGGGAGAAGAGGGAAGGAGGGTGATATTGGGAGGAGGTGAGAGAGGGGGCTTCAGTCAGGATATATAATGAATATATTGTAAAAAATTAAATTAATTTATTTATCGACTGATTGATTTTTTTTAAAAGAACACTGACTACACCTCTAGAGGATCTGGATTCAACTTCTAGTACCTATATAACCACTCACAGCCATCTGTAACTTCAGTTCCAGAGGACCTGACACCCTCTTCTGGCCTCCTTGGGCACTAGCCACATATTTGGTGCACAGACTTGCAGGCATATACATAAAATACCTATGCACATATGATAAAAGAGACATAAACCATATTCTTTTTTTTTTTAAGAAAAAGCAGCTTTTCTGATGAGAGGTGAGAGAACCAGCCACGTTAGTGTCAGCCCTTCTCACAGAAGCCAGTGTCAACAGGGGCCAGATGGCAAAGGGAAGCAAGGAGGTGCATCAGAGGGCACATTTCAGTTTTGATCTGGACTGTCACCCCCTCCTCCAGATAACAACTGCAGCTCTGGTGGCTCATTTATTGGGACAGCAAAGGGGCAGGAGCAGCTTTTATAATGTAAGCAAATCAGAACAGCCACCTCCATAACTTTACTCTTACCCTCTGCGTCACTGTCATTTGATTTTGGTATTTCTAATCTTCTTATTGGCTTACATCTGGCTTTCAGCCTCTGATTCCAAAGGGACAGGCTTTTCTATGGTTTCAGGTCTTTTTAGGTTCCTGGATTACTTCTTTTAAATCTTACAGTAGCAGACTGAGTGAACCAGGCCTTTGTGTGGAAGCGGACAGATTTTTGCTTTCGATCACACTGTTAACAGGCAGGAACAAGAGTGGCCTTCACAGTGATGTCACTGTGGGTATTTCAGACAATTTGGAAGCTTGTTTTCCACAGGGGAAGTGTCCAGGGTTGCTTTCTCTCCCATGCTTATGATTTTAGTAAAGTTGCCAATGGCAAGGATTGGCACAGAGTAAAATACCCAGTGGATATTTAGCAATCTTTCCTCCTGTTTCATTATCCTGTCACCATGGTAACAAAGATGCTTAGGGCTGTAGGAATTTTTAAACCACACTAGTTGGAAGATTGACAAATATTGTAGCTTGAGTAGAAATGGCTGTCTTTGTGTAATACATCTTCAACGTATGAATGAATGTGTCCTTTTGTCTAAACCCTCCAAGTCTAAATATATACGGCATTTTTTAAAGCTAAAGTTGGCAATGTTTCCCTGGCCTGGCTCAGGCAGAGGAGGGTGGCAGGTGCCTCATGAATGGCAGGTGAAGGAGAGCCCTCTAGTGGGAAATTGCCAAGGCAAACTCAAGAGCGGGAGAGTCAAGAGAGAAGGGATGTTCATCAATGTGCTGGAGGATATGTTCACTCGCCAATCCGCCACGTAAAAGTCACCAGGCACATGCTGAGGCATGTGCTAAATAAGTAGTAAAATTAAAATAATGATTTCAATGCATCACTCATCATGGCCCTCGCCTGAAACATCTGTAATGGGCAAATTCAGGGTAGGGATGTCTTCAGGCAATAAAAGAAATCGAGGGGCTGGAGAGAGATGGTTTAGCAGTTAAAAACACTGGCTTATGTCTAGAAGGCTCTGGTTTGATTCCCAGCACCCACATAGTGGTTCACAACCCTTTGTAAACTCTAGTTCTAGAGGATATAGCAATCTCTTCTGACCTCTGAGAGCACCAAGCAAGCATGTGGTACACAAATATGCATGCAGGCAAAAAACCCATACACATAAAATTAAAATGGAAAAAAAATGAGATGAGTGATGAGATGGCCCCTCTCTAGGGAGTACCAGGATGGGTACTTCCCAAACAGAAGATCATAAACCTTCCCCTGCCTCAAGACCAACATCTGAATAAGACCTCTGTTGCTGATTGTTTTGTACTTGGAGAATTACAGAACACTCCGTGCCCCATATCCTTAGCCAAATTTGAGATTGTAATGTCAAATTTACAAAAACAGATTCATCCCTTTTGCCTAGGGTCCTGATGCTTTTACTCATTCAGTTTTAAATGATTTTGATTTTGATGGCTTATAGAGATATTCAAGATAGAGTTTCTCTTTATAGTCCTTGTTGTCCTTGGACTCCCTCTGTAGACCAGGCTGGCCTTAAACTCAGAGATCTGCCTGCCCCTGCCTCCCAAGTTCTGGGATTAAAGGCGTGCACCACCATGCCCAGCTATACAGAATATTTTAAAACCATGCTGCTTAAGAAATAACCTGTTGTCCGTGTACCCTAAATACATTTGAGCTATGTCTAACTGTATTGAGTGATTTAGAACTGGGGTCCACAGCTGATACTGACGGTCATCCATAAGCTCCTCCTAAAGGTTCACAAAGCGTGTTTCCAGGGAACAAGAATCAGAACCCAAAACGCAGTGTTTCTGATGCTGCACAGCCCAGGAGTTTCCATCAGGAAATCTCATCTCTCCTTTCTGCAGTGGATTAGATGCATCAGTTATAAACTCAGAATCACAATATGTGTCAGTGTCAAATGAAGAAAGAAATCTTGGAGTAATTTAACCGAGAGCAAGAGCAAGCCAGAGTTTGAATTCTCCACATTTCTTCCTACGTCTTCTGTCTCTCTCCTGTCTATAATGTGCCTGTTGTATGAGCCTGAATTTGTGCCTGCCTGAATTGTGTGTGTGTGTGTGTGTGTGTGTGTGTGTGTGTGCCCTTAACAAAGGGCCTTTGTTTTGTTTTTATTGAACAGCACAAAAGTATCACTTGAGGAAGGAATGGGAGACACCTTAAAGAAATCTTTAGCAGGGTTTTACGAAGGATAAATCTTTATTTACTCCAACTGACACAGCTAAAAAACAGACAAATGCTATCTAGCAATATCCACATGTTGCTTCCACTGCTTATGTTGGATGTTTTTTTGTATAAAGTTGCTTTCAACCTATTTGCTGTTTTCAGCATTGGTTACAGTACCATACATGCATGTATGAATTACTCATGGATCAGGGGTACGGAGCTTAAGATTATACATAATTTAAGGTTAAAGCTTCACCTTAGCTCAGGCTGTAAAAGCTTATTACATAAGAAACCAAAGGCAGGTGGGGTTGCTTATCACATCATTCTCCTAAAGTCGAGTTAAACAAACAGGATGAGTCCACAGTAGGATAGCAATGACCTCAGTGTATAATAACTCAGCTCCAGTCTCTCAGAGAGTTTCATGATATCGTGTCACCTCACCTTTTGGACTAGAGCAAGGATTTTCTGAGCCCAGCCCTGCATCAGCAACTGCATGAGGCGCCATGTCTTGAAGCCTGGTTCAGCTGATCCACACGGTCCCTTCTGGATACTCTGTGGTCCTCCTCTCTGTTAAAGTCAGTGGATACTCTGCTGTGTACTGTGAAATAGGAGAACGAACTCCTTGCAATATATGCCTGTGTTCCTGGCACAAGTGTTTACCCAGGAGAGTTCACACGGTGTCTTACATCTATTGGATCCAATTCAGTCATTCATTGTCTCACTTAATCATTTGCCCACCCAGTAAATAGAGTATATAGTCACTAAAACACACTGTGACCCCTTCTCCTTCTCTTCTTCGTCCTCTGAGCCTTTGGAGCTCCGTTTCTCTAGAGCTTCCTAGTTCTCCACTGTGCTCCAAGATCATATAAAGGTCACCATACCTCCCACAAAACCAGCTCCCAGAGCCTCAATCTGCTTCAGCCAAGAAACACAGTGGCCCATGACAGGCCCACATAATGAACAGGTCAGGGATGCAAAGGTGGAAGCCTAGGAATGTGAAGAGGATCTAATTTGGGGCTCCTTGAGACTACCAGGACCTTATGCTCAAGATGGGCACTGGTATAGAGCATCTAAAAGAGAGTGCACTTGCTGTCCCTGGGAGAGAGGTAGCCTGGTGGGGTAGATAATGGTGTGGTGTGCTTGGCCTTACAGATGGAGCAGGAAAAGCAGAGCTCCTGTGGGAGAGACATGCAGCTGACGGGGCATTTTGTTTCTTTGCAAATGCTGTGTTTGATTACAGCCAAATCCCAATTCCCTTGCAGATCAGCACAGACACCCCCAGTTTAAGGAAGACAGAGCTGAAAGGTCGGAGTGCACTGTTGGCAGATATCCAGCAAGGAACACGCCTGCGAAAAGTCACCCAGATCAATGACCGCAGTGCCCCACAAATCGAGAGTAAGTGAGCAATTCAGTGGAGGCTGCTGGGAGCCCAGGGTGGGGGAGGGATGGAGGGGAGGCAGGATGTGTAGAGCACAGGCAGACACACACTGGCTGTGCTGCATCTGTGACCCATGCAATCTCAAAACACCTCAGACCTGCTTCAGGGACAGGCCACAGGCCAAGGGAGAGATTCAGACATTCCTTTCCGAACGTCCACAGGTGGCAGGGCCTGCAGAACAAGACAGCCAAATCCCTTCATGATAAGTAGCATTTTTTATGTTTTTTTTTATTATTATTCTCATTAGTTACATTTTGTTAATTCTGTATCCCAGATGTATCCCTCATTCCCTCCCCAATCCACCCTCCCTCCCTCATCTCCTCCCTGCCCCTTTCCAAGTCCACTGATAGGGGAGGACCTCCTCCCTTTTCATATGACTCCGTTTTGTCAGGTATTTTCAGGACTGGCTGCAAAGTAGCATTTTTAAGTTGTGATAAAATCCACATAACAAATGTCACCACTCTGTCTGCAAGTACACCTGCACACCAAAAGAGGGCACCAGATCTCATTATAGATGGCTGTGAGCCACCGTGTAGTTGCTGTGAATTGAACTTGGGACCTCTGGAAGAACAGCCAGTGCTTTTACCCTCCGAGCCATCTATCCAGCCCCAAATTTCAACACTCTTAAATGTCCCATTGAGCGTCATCAGATACGTTCACAATGCTGTTGCCATCGTCCCTCTTTTTCATTTGGTCAAGATTACAAAAAGTTAACATGCTACAGCCCTGCAGAGGTACCTGCAGAGGCCAAAGGCACCTCTGGGGCTGGAGTAGCAGCAGCTTGTGCGCTGCTCAGTGTAGGCGCTGGAAACCGAATTCAGGTCTTTTGAAGGAGCAGTGTGAGCTCTTCACACTCGAATCACCCATCTCTCTAATCCCAAAGACAGACACATTTTTTAAAGAAACATTTTCAACACTGATTATAACAAAGATCCGTTTCTAATCAGGCTCATGAGCTAGCTGGTTAGGCTCAGCTGGCAGGCTGATACATATTGTTGTCACACTGACTGCCTAATTGCACCAATGAGCACTGTACATAATATTCAGAGTGAGGAGAGCCCTCTGCCACCAGTGGGCACCATGCCCTGACTGCGTGTGTTAACCTTAGCTTGTGTCTTAGTTACTTTTCTATTGCTATGATAAAACACCATGACCAGGACAAGTTATAGGAGAAAAGGGTTACTTGGGCTTACAGTTGCAGAGGGATGTGAGTCGGGGGGGGGGGGGGGGGGGGGGGCAGTCCTGGAAAGTGAAGCTGGGAGCTTAGATCTTGACCCACAGCGAGGAAGCAGAGGGCAAACTGGAAATGGCCAGAATCTTTAAACTCTCAAAGCCCATCTCCAGTGACATATTTCCTTCAGCAAGGTCACTCCTCCTAAACCTCTCCAAAGAGTGCCATCAATCGAGGACCAAGTGTTCAGATACCCGAGACTGCGGGGGTCATCTCATTTGAACTAGGAATTCTTGTCTAAGCTGGGTGTCTTCCGAGTTTCTATGATTGGTAATCACTATATCTGGATGGCAGAGGTCACTGATACCCCATGTCCGGGCATTCTGATCCAAAAATTTAAAAAATGTGAAGTTAAAATGTCTGAGTTAGTTAAGCCTGGACTTTTTTGGGAGGTGAAGGGTTCTCTAGTCCTTTCAATGTCGAGTTTTCTAATTTGAGCCACAAATGGGTCAGCACGTTGGTAGAGCTTGATTTGGGGGCAGACAGGCTTAGGCATGGGGGCACACACTGACTTTAAAGGGTAACACCGGCCTACAGTGAGAATGACCTGCCAGCTCTTCTTACTCATTTTTCTTGCCTCTTCTCTTCAGGTTCAAAAGGAACCAACAAAGATGGCGGAAGTGCTAGCAGCAGTGCTGGCAGCAATGCCCGCGGAGGAAATACACCCCCTGCCCTGGGAGATCTCTTTGCTGGTGGCTTTCCTGTGTTGAGACCAGCAGGCCAAAGGGATGTGGGAGGTGAGGAAGGATCCACCCTGGTGGCCCGGTAGCCTTGTGGTACTCCTTTGTGCCCTTAACAAGTGCACATGGTTCATAAATAGTTACATTGTAAAAAGTTGAGTATGTAAGAGCTTTAATCCCAGAAGTCCACAAAGCACAGAATGATTCTCTGGGAACCCTTTTAAATCCCATCTGTTTAAATTACATCTTCATAATTGAAGAATGACTTTTTTTTTTTAAGCAACGTGTGTCATGCTAGACAGAGTGCCATTCATGATAGACACGGCAGTGCTGTGTGTTGCCACAAGTTTGTGTTGAGTTGTAATGAATCTCCCATTCCCGAGTCAGTTAGACACTGCTGTGTAGCTAAGCGTCAGAATGCGGAAGCTTTAAACCACTGCTCATTCAGCCTGTGATTCTGTCTAGTAGCAATCTAGGGTGGTCGAGGCTTCCTTAGCCTCTGCAAACAGCTACCTACAGGCTGGAAGATGGCATACCTCCCTTTATGTCCAAGGCTCCGCTGGACAACTGGACTGACTGTCCTTGGAGCCACAGGACCTGCAAATGTGCAGCATTTGCCTAAGGCTTGTCACCATGTTGGGTCTCCAGAGAGAACATGATGTGCAAAGTAACCTGAGACGGTCTTGGAAGCCCGTCAGGAGCTAACTTAGAAGCCTATCAAGTGCTACTTCCTGCTCTGTTCTCTAGGTCAGTCCCAGCAAGGGCCAAGCCCAGCCAGAACAGGAAGTGGACTTCACCTCCTGACAGAACACCTATACAGTCACACTCAAAGATGACACAGGAGGGCCTCATCTTATCACCGAAACCATTCGGGGACCGTAGTATTAATTTATGCTTCAGTGGGCATTCAGTGTTTTTAAATCGTTGTATTAAAAATTGGGCAAATATACTGCTGCTGTGAGAGGTAGAAAGGTTTTGTTGTTGCTGTTGTTCTTTATTATAGCCTTGGGGGAGGAGAGATTCCGCTAAGATGGGCCTTATGGTTGCTTATCCTGGCAGTAGACCTGTATAGTCTACTCCCCAGCTGCGGGGTCATCAGGCTTGTGAGTTCTGTGTGCTGCTCACTCACCTGGACTCTTTCCTTCCCAGACTGCTGGTCTAACCTAGAATGTGTTTCACTTCCAGGTGGCAAGACCGGGCAGGGCCCTGGCTCCCGAGCGCCTTCTCCCAGGCTTCCCACCAAGGCCCTCAGCGGCCCCCTTCCCTCTCCTGCATCTCCCAGGCTGGGCAGTGCCTCAGAGACATCCAGCTCTGTCAGGCCTGTCCCTCCTCGCCCCAGTGTGCCTGCCCCACCGCCTCCCACTCCACCCCCACCCCCGCCTCCGCCTCCGCCTCCACCCCTGCCCCCAGCCTCCCCCAACAAAGCTCCGTTGGTGTCCCCACCTGTGCCCCCAACCAAGGGGAATGCCCCTGTGGTGCCACCCCCAGTACCCTTCACACCTCCTCCTCCTCCCCTGACACCGCCCCTGCCGCCCCCAGCTGCAGCGCTCAGTGACAAGGCAGTGAGGCCCCAACTAGCCCCCCTGCCCTTGCCACCCATTCCGCCCCCTCTCCCTCTCCTCCCACCATGTGGGTACCCGGGGCTCTACTCAGAGCCCAGCAGCCCTGCACAGGAGGTGCGAGACCCTTCAGTCCCGCCGCCGCCGCCACCACCACCTCCGCCGCCACCACCTCCCGTCTATGCCTTTTGCTCCCCCAGGGCTGTGCCCGCGCCCCCTTTGCCAGGCTCGAACAACAGCGGCAGCGAGGTTCCTCCCCCTCTGCCCCCGAAGTCCCCCACCTTCCAGGTGCAGAAGGTCTTGCCCACACCTCCCAGTGTCCCCAGCTCACAAGCCATCCTGCAGAAGAGGCGGCGAGGCCCGGGTAAGGCAGCCTTCGTGGCTCCTCTGAGTCACGAGGGTTCCTTGGGAGGGTTCAAACCCAGTTTCCATCAGAACACTAAAACCTGGACCCTTCTGTGAGACCTTACTGTTTGTTTTGAGATGGAAGCCGCTGGTGGGGGAGGCTGGGAGTCTTAGATCCCACAGAAGACGCCTCGATCCTCTTGCCACGACTAGCGCGTGTACTGGGACCAGCACTTCACGCCTCTGTGCTTTCTTCTCTGTCAAGCAGTGTGGGAGGCAGGTGGTTCTCTCTCACAGTTTGCGGGATACCTGGCACCGGTCGGAATCCAGCAGCAGTGAGGGCTAGAGAAGTGCTGTGTCTCCCACAGTCACGCTGGCTCTGACTCCGCTCTAGGTCAGGTAGAGCCAGTTTCTGGAACTAGGTCTCTGGTCTGATTACCTGAGTGACGCCTGTCTAGCTTCCAGCTGCCCGGACAGCTCATCCCACAAGAGCACGCCTGCATTTTGGCAGAGTCTCAGGCCAACTCAAGAAAACAGGCTTGTGTATTGAGCCAGAGTAAAAATAATTCCTTCACAGAGAGTGGAGAGGGTTATGACTAACGCCCACGCTGCAGAAGTGAGAGCACGCATAGCAAGGGCTGTGTGCAGCTACACACCCGTGCAGGCACACATACATACCCCAGGCTCATGAGCACACATCTGTACACAGCTGTTCACACAAACACGCCATATACATGTTACTCGCACATGCCAGTCCGTCACACACACACACAGAGAACATACACCACATACCCATACACACAGGCCCATCATATACACCCACATATACATGCACACACTCCACATACCAAATATATACATACACATACCCCACGACATACACATGCATACTACACACGTCTGCATGTACCATAGATACACGCACACCACACATGTCTGCACACTACAGACAAACATACAGGCACTTGTGTAGAAAGTCTCTTAAGGGTATTTTGGGATCTGTGGGAATCTGAATTCACGTCCCAGGTTACTCATCCACCCTGTGTAAGAAATGCTGCCTGAGCACTATTTTTTAAATAATGCAACCTATCACATAAAATTGCTAAATGGGGACCTGCAGGGGCTTGTAGTGGATGATTTCTTTCCTTGTCCTTTATGGGCAGCTTCCCCATGGGATCTAGGGAGGAGAAGCAGAAAGAGAGAGGAAGGAGGCAGGGATTGAGGAAGAAGGCAAGGTTGGAAGCGCTGATGGTAGGGCAGAGGTTGGATGGTGTGGACGCGCGAGCATTTCACTTGGCACTCTGCTACTCGCTCCAGACTCCAAGCCCCCTGGCTAACAGCAGGTGCCTGCCTGGTCTTTCTCTTTGTGTATTTGGAGGTCTACAAATGAGGGTGCTCTTGCTTCAGCCTAACCTGGGGATGAAAGAAGAAACTGTTTGTGACCCACCGACACAGGGAATGCTGGGGCAGGCTTATCTTTCCAAGTAGCAAGAACATGGCAGGTTCACCAAGGAAATGGGCAGCAGTAGGACACTGAGGCTCCAGGATGTGGATTAGAGACAGTGCAGGAGGCAGCCAGCAAAACACTGTAGAGGAAAGAGAGAGCCTCTCGCCTCATGACCAGGAAAGATGTGAGGAAGGAGGTTGGTGTGAGTTGGACTCTGGCAGGCAAGAAGGTTTAACCAGGCTGGATGGAGAACCAAGGTTCATAGCATGGGAGATCTGGCAGGGCAGAGCACAGGACAGGCACACCCCTTTGAGGGTCATCCTTCTGCCCTCTCTGGGCCCTTGCCTGTAGGCCTTTCCCTCCAGTTCCTATTCCTCTGCAGTGGGTTCTTCTCTGCAAAGGTGCCATCTGACCATGAGGCTTACCACATCATTGATGGTGGCAGCTAAGTTTGGCACACTTACTGTATCACACATTTTAACTTATTTAATCCTTTCAACCACTCCAGAAAATGTTTGCTGGTATTACTCCCATCATATGGATGAGGAAACTAAGGTACAAAGAATAATATGTGACTGATATTACTCCAATTGTATAGATGAGGAAAGTGAGGCACAAAGAGCATGTGTTACTTGTACCAATTAAGGAAAACTGTGATTCAGTCCCAAACAGCTTGGCTCCAGTGGTTGCCCTCTGACTTACCACATATCGTTGCAGGGGCTAACCACCTAACCTCTTACACAGTTAAAATCTACCATCCCACTTCTGTGTCTGAATAGCTGCCCTCTTCTCTGTTAAGGAACAGGTGGTGGAAAGCTAAACCCACCTCCAGCTCCACCTGCAAGATCACCCACCACAGAGCTTTCCAGCAAAAGCCAGCAGTCTGGATGCCAGCTGAGGAATGGAAGCCAGCACGTGATTGGTAAGGACCCCACTTGCAGTGCAGGCTTCCTGCCTCCTGAGACAGGACAAGGGGTTCCCCTGCCCACCAAAGGGGAACAGACAGTTAAGCAGCTTTCCAGGCTCTCACTGCTGCATCTGTTTCTCCGAGCGGCCTTCAGGACGTGCGAACTAGGGATTTTTTTTCCCTCCACGTCTTCTGGGTAGGTCTAGGACCCACTCTCTAGTTGTGTGGCTCAGAAAGAGAAAGGGAAGACATCCAGCACTAACCCCGTGCATGCATATTTGTGCACATCTCCATGGAGACTAGGTCTGTAAGCCTAGAAGACCAGGGTGGCTTGGATAGGGGGAAGGAACTGAGCGGACTTCTTGGCAGGCAAAAGGAAAACCAAGAGGTTGGAAGAAAGCCATTTAGGGTTGCTAAAACCTCCACAACACTTCTGTGTGTCTGGCTATGTACTCAGCCATCTGACCTTCTACGTGGTCAGGTCAGAAAGGGGGCTGTCAGATAAGAAGGGCCGGGGCCCCTTTTCTCGTCACCAGAGCTTCGGGAAGCCCAGTCCTCTCACTGGACACAGCCAAGCTGGCGCGTCTCCTTCCCCTCAAACCCACCTTTGGGAGTCAGGCAGGCAGTCTTGTTGGAACCTCGTGCCAGGTCCTTTTCTAGGTTCTTCCCCCTGACTGGAGCCCTTTTCTGTTCCTTCAGTGGCTCCCTTAGGTGGGCAGAGGATCTTAGGCACGGTGCTGGGGAATGACTGCACTTGGCCAGGAACACTTGAAAAGCAGGTGAACTCTTGGAGAAATAACCCTTCTCCCCAAACCCTTGCACAGAGCAGGGAGCAGCAAAGCAGGGTATTCAGTTGGCGTGACCCGTGTGGCCCCGGAGACAGTCATGCTTGGGTCACAGGAGTGATCTAAGTAAACTCCAACTCCCGTATTTCTCACATGTGCAGATGACTTCGAGTCTAAATTCACGTTCCACTCCATGGAAGACTTTCCCCCTCCAGATGAATACAAACCATGTCAGAAGATTTACCCCAGCAAGGTCCCCAGAAGTAAGTACCCCTTTAACAAGACCCTCCACGATACAGGGCACCTACAGACAGCACTGCACCTTCACCGTCCCACAGCAAGGATGCTACGCTGTGCACACTCCCACAGACATACTGGCCTAACGCCTACTGGTTCGCTTAGAGGTTTCTACAGGACACCAGGGTTACCTGGCATGCCCTTGGAATTGCTGAAATGAGTCTTTTCCTCCCCAGGGCCTTTGGCTGGGAGATTTGACACCCAAACAACAGAGAAATAGGATGTGGGCTCTTTGCATTAATAGCTGGAGAAAAACCCCATCAGATTCTGGCAAAGCACGAAATGGAAAATGTCCAGAGGCCAATGGTTCTCAACCTTGCCTACACATGACAATGGTCCAGCAGCTTTGTAAACTCTTGGAGGCCAGGCTGCATGTAGTCAAGAGTGAGACCCAGAGGTCAGCGTTTCTGAAAGCTGCTGGCATCTCCGGTGCACAGCTGAAGTAGAACCCCAGAGCCCAGGGGCTCTTCCTCCTGATTTCATTGCATACATACGCTCCAAATGGCCCCTTCGCTTACTCTGTCCACTCCAGAGAGGAGGGGGCTGACGGGATGCCTCTCAGGCCAAAGTGGCAGGAAGGCCAGAGAAAACTGAGGGTTAGAGAGATGAGCACACAAGAATTATGCAGCTGTTTAACAGCCCGGTGCAGACAGGTGCAGTACTGGGTCGTTATGAATGGCAGAAGTAGGAGGCAGCAGAACCAGCAGCACCAGGTTGGCTGTGTTCTTATCCTGCCACCAAAGTGAGGCCTTACTCCCACTTGTCTTAGTCCCACATGTTAGGGCTGGCCCAAAATCAGAGGCGGAGAACAACAGACTCCTCTGCGTACCTGTCCCTGCTGAGATCCTGGCAAAGTCCCTCCTATGGGGCTCAGCTCCCTGGAAGGCAGAGTGGGGAATGTCTGCTCGGCTCAATACAGAGAAGCTGTCAGCATCTCAGCATGGCATGGGCACAGCTCTCTTCTGGCTGTGGGACCTCAGAGGAGCCTGGTGTGCCCTCTGAATAAGAATAAGAAAACAGCGCTGTAAAGGCTCCCGAAGCCAAGCCTTCTCCGAGTTCTGATGGACACTGAAACCCAGCTATGGGTGAAAGTGGGCCTGTATCTGCCTAGCTTTCCTTCTCAGGGCAGCAGATGCACATGAACTGGCAGGTGGCAGCAGGTGCAGTGTGACCATCAGCGACCACAGAGAGAAGCCAGGGCCCAGGTTCACCTCACACTCTGAAGTGGATGGGTTTCTTAGTTAGGGTTTCTATTGCTGTGATGCAACCTCTGGACCAAAATCGACTTGGAAAAGAAAGGGTTTATTTCATTTACACTTCCCGTAAGCTATCCATCACTGAAGAACGTTGGGCAGAAACTCAGGCAGGCCAGGAAGCTGAAGGCAGGAGCTGATTTGGGTCATGGAGGGGTACTGCTTACTAACTTGCTCCTCTAGGCTTGCTCAGCATGCTTTATTATAGAACCCAGGCCAACCACCCACAATGGGCTGGGCCTTCCCCCATCGATCCCTGATTAAGAAAATACCCCAAAGGCTTGCCTACAGTGAGTCATATGGAGGCCTATTCTCTCAAGGCTCCCTTCTCTTTGGTGACTCCAGCTTGTGTCAGTTGACATAAAACTAGCCAGGAACAGATGAGGGAAATTTTTCTTAATGCATAAGAGCGCTGGTGATTATTTACAACACACCCCAGATAACTGGTGCGAGGTTTGGAATTTGGCCACCATGGGAGCCATATAGGATGTGGGCACAGTGGCAGAAGTCAGAGAGCCCAGGACCCAAGGAGAAAACCACATTTCCGCTTGGGCAGGAGAGCATCTAGGCCAGGGGCAGCACAGTTCAGGAGAGCCCCGGAAAGTTCAGGTGTATTTCACAATCATCAGTGTCCCATGAGTGTCAGGGCCCCATGTGCCTGGCCTGGATGAGGCCAGGCTGGTGGCACAGGGCTCCAGGGTGAATGTCAGTGAATAGCAGCTCTGGGCCTGTGCTTGGAGAGTCACCTTGGGGAAGTGTGCACAGGTATCAGGGAGATAAAGACTTGAAAGTTGTATTCTTAAAGAAAGACAGGTAGGGCTTAGGTGTCAAGCTGTTTCAAGGGCAAGTCCTCTGGTGACATAAGACTCCCAAGGCCCACCTTTTAAAGGCTCCACCACCTCCCAAAAGCAGCACAAAGCCTTTAACAGGTGGGTCTTTGGAGACATTCCAGGTCCAAGCTACATCATGAGCCATCAGTTCCTCTCACTGGTTAGAGTCCAAAGAATTATGAGGTAATGTTCATATGAAAACATGGATGTACACATCCATAGCCTAATAACTGATAATGGTCAAGAGCTGTAAACAGCTAATGAACTGATCAACTGATCACTGTGTGGGTATAGCCACACGGTGAGATACAGTTCAACTACAAAAAGGAGTCAGTTCTGAGACACACAATCCAGACACACAATCCAGCACTGTGCTTGAGAAAGGGGATCATCCCAAGACCACATTCCTCTTAAATGAAATGTCAAAAATGAGCAAGACCACAGAGATAGTTAAGATAGTGGTTGTTAGGAATTGGGGCCTGAGAGAGGAGGAGTGATGGCCAATTGGCCTGGGGTTTCCTTTTAGGGTGATGAAAATGTCCTGCAGCTGGCTAGTGATGATGGTTACCCATCATATCTACAAATGCACATGTCGTGGTGTTCGGATCCACTGGGAGAAACCAGAGACTTAGACCCAGTTCACATTTAGACTAAATACATTTACTCTTACTGCCAGCAGACTGACGGCAGCCTTAGGGCCGTGTATAGCGTGCTGTGTGGAAGGGAGGTTAAGGTGAGGGTTTAAGGCAGACATCAGAAAGGCGAGCATCACCACTGTCCATGGAATCCACAGCTGGGCAAGAGAATTGTTTTACCTCCCTCAGTTGTCTTCTTACTTCCCTGATACATAGTAATAAAAAGACCACTTCATCCGTTTCCCACAGCGATAAGCAGGTTTACAGAAGCAAAGGCAGCTTTTAATAGCTCACAGCTCATTATCCTACTCTTGTCTCACCTGCAGGCCTCTAGGATCTTCCAGGCATTCCAGAGCAACACGCCGACAGCGCCTAAGGGATGCCTGGCTCCATATTAAGTCTTTTTAGGCATCACAGAGGCCGTGTGTAAATCACTCAGGTCTGAGTACTCTAGTGACTGGGATAGGACAGTTCATTTCTGGGCAGGCAAATACACAGTGCCTTCAGGTTAAGGCTGGCTGTCATGCCTCCCCCGCTTCCCCCAATGTCCCTCACAGGGAATTTTATTTTACTAATGGTATTCAAGTGACACACACACACACACACACACACACACACACACACACACACACACTTATCAGAATTTTTTAGGAAAAATACTCAAGTCACAAATGCTCATTGTCATTCTAGCAGGAAAAAAGACCTTGTTATGTCACCAAATACTTGCTGAGTACTCACACATCCATGAGAGCCACACCATGGCCTGGGGGGGGGGGGGCATCACACATGGCATCCTATTCCCACATTCCCAGTAAATAGTGTCTATCACAGTCATCAGGCGGAAAGGGGCTGGTTTCAAATGGGACTGTGCTCACCTCCCAACTCCTAATTTTTAAAAGATTTTTCACTTGTGAGAAAAATAAAACCTGTAACATGAAAATCCCCATCTAAACCAAGTTTAAGTGTTGGCTGTGAAGTGTGACCCCTCTGCCGTGCAACCAAACTTCAAAATGGGTCTCACCTTACAGAGCCAAAACTCCATACACCTAGCTCCCTCGAAACCACCATTCCTTTTTTTTTTTCCATGATGTTGTACATTGTATACAGCTGCTGTAGGTAAAGGAATATGCTATTTGCTTTTAATGCTGGCTTATTTCACTTGGCAGACTGTCCCGAGGTACACACGGCGGTCAGAATGCCCCTCCTTTAATAATCTTGCCAATAGGCATGTTTGTGTGTGCATAATTGTACATCACATTTCCTTTATCCATTCATCACTGTTACGCATTTGGATTGCTCTTACAGTTTAGCAGTTAAGAATAATGCAGGTGTTCAGGGGTCTCGCAGAGACTACGTTTTCAATTGATTTCCATATACATCCCAAAGTACAATGTCAGGTCATATGGAAATGCTGTTTGTAATTGTCCGAGGAACCACCATACTGTGTTCCATAGCAGTTCAGTCATTTTTCGCCTTCACTCTCTTCACTGTACGTAGTGGTTCCGACTTTTCCACATCCTCACCAAAACCATCTTCCGTTTTCAGCTTAATGTTCTTTTTCTGTTGTTGTTGTTGTTTTTTTTTCCATAGCCACCCCAAGGAGTGCAGAACGAAGGCTCATCTGTTGTTATTGGACTGTTGTCCAACTCTTGTTTTAGAGGCTACTCCTGATAAAACTAGCCAGCTGTTTCCATGAACTATGAACTTTCCCACCACACTGTCATAACTTCAGCAGTGCCAAGGGGTTCATTTTACAAGAACCAAAGGATTGGAGGTTCCAAGAGTGTGATGCGAAGTAGAAAAGGCACATGGCCACAGGGCCTATCTCGTTCCATGTTGTGGTGACACTGAGACAGGACCCTCACCACTCTTGCTAATGCAGTTGACCACGCTCTTATGAACTGACCTCCAGCAGCCCAGGCTTGTCACATGATGCTGTCTTAGGCCTTACTTCTGTGAGACCACAGAATGCTGCTGCCTCTGTCTTCGAAGTTCTCTCACCTCTCTCCAGCCCCCAAGTTCCCCCCACTCCAGCTGTAGTCTCTCTCCTACTGGGCTTCCTACCCCATCAGCCATGGCAGATACTCCATCATGGCCACGACGGGACCTCCAGGTCACCATATTTTGTCTTTAGCGGTATTAAGAGCGGTCCAGCACCCCGTCATCCCACAGCCCTCTTCCCCTGCACCCAGACTACTCCTCCATGCTTGATGCTCCATCAATGCAGTTAAATTAATTAAAACAGAGTCACCTGCTAGAACTCTTGTGACCATTAAAACAGTATATTGAGTATTTGGTGCTGCAGGAATGGTCACTCTACTATGTCAGTAAAAACAGCCCAAACAAGACTACAGAAAGAACACAGAAACATTTTATTAAAATGCATTGATTCATATATTATGTAGTAAAGGTGACTTTGAGTCTAGAAGTTTACAAAAGTGTTAAATGTGGGAAAACACTGTGTGCCTTTCATTCTGTCTCTTTACTATTCTGTCCAGATTTTTATAATTGCATATTGTTGTTATATCTTTAAAATGATATTTTAAGTTGAAAGTTATAGGAAAAGAGAATAGGATTAGCCCAATTTTGGTTCATGTACTTGTGCAAGAGGAAATAGGGGCCTAGTAGACTGACCCAGCTCAGAGGCCAAGATGGCTGGCTTCTACTAAGAGGATCTGGTCCCTTTTATTCCAGCCAATACTGCGACAGTGATAACTGGGGAATGGGGACGGGGGAGAACTGAGTGTGCAATGTTCAAGGTTTAGAGAAAACCATCTGGGGCCATCCAGCCCAATTTCTCCATACATAGCTAAGAAATTAAGGACTAGTAAATAAAACGGCTGGTCCATGTTTCCACCTGCTAGCAAAAACAGGCCAATACCCAGATTCTGTGTTCCATGCCCAGGAGTCTTTTCCCTTCCTGGTGCTGTTTTTTTTTTTTTTACTTTCCTTCCAAGATTTAGAAAGTTTTGGCCCATGATTAACATGTCTGAACTTCATAGGAGCCACCTTTTCCCAAATATAACAGTTCACAGGGGCTGTTCTCCAAGGCTGGTGTTAGCACATCTAAAAGACTATGCCTTAATGGCCGTCCAAGTTGTAAGCCCTTTCTGCATCATGCTCAGGCCCTACCTAGGCATCCTCCTGTTGCCTGTAAATTGATTTTGTTCCTGGCATGAATATATGGCTGTGCTTAGGGGGAAAAATAGCAAGACATACTTGGTTTGCACAAGACAAAAAGTAAGGCCATCAGAGTCTGGTTGGTCCAAGCACAGATCATCTTTAAGCCCATGGCCCTACCAATTTTTATTCACACTTGTGTCGGTAAGTGGGACAGGAGATGGCAGTATCTTGGCTCTCAGTACAATAGGGATGTGAGATGAGGAAGACAGGTGAAATGCATTTCATATTACAAGCTATAGAAACCAAAGTGGGAACACTGCCATTCCACGGGACTGGAAATGCCCATCTCTGCAGAAACAGCAGGTGCATTTACAGAGTGGCCTCAGAGAGTCTAGTGTCACTTCATGAAGGACAGTCCTCCTGAGGTGCTCTGTCAATTCAGAGCATCCAAGTATGCGCAAGGATATCTCATAGACACTCACAACAACAGTGGTTTGTTGCTGTTGTTGTTGTGTTTTGTTTGCTTGTTTTTCTTACAACCAGAAACGGAGTTTGCCCTCCTTTTTCATGGAGAAGCTAATTTCCCTCCGCCCCTCTGCTCTGATCAGCTTGTGGAAGCTGGTGAGGACTGCCTACCCATGAATCCTATGCTATTGCCCACTGATTTTCAGATAGGGGCAAATGTTGCTCCCAGGAGAAGTTGTTCCTAGAGTCCTTTGTGGTAGTTACTAGTAAGCCAGGGCTTGGGCAAGGCTGCTACCGGCACTGAGTGAGTAGAGCTAAAAGGTGCAGTAAGTGTCCCACAGGCCAAGGACAGGCCCACATGGGAGACCGGTGTAACCACAATGTTAGTAAGGGTCCAACCATGAAATCTATGCCCAGTGAGAGGGTTTTGTCGTTGGTGTTTGTTTCCTGTAGCAGACAGTCATTCATAAAGCTAAGGACCACAGTTTGCAAGGCTGCCCTCAAACCTGAAAGTACATCAAGGTTGCCTGTCAGGCTCTTAGTACTTTTTACTCAAACTAGCTGAAAAGGTAACATTTTCTCTGTTATTCGCTCCAAACATTCTTGAACAAGTGCATCCTTGGTTGGTTTGGACCTTTGTATTGAATTTAGCTACTTTGGGGGTTCTTCTTTCTTCCACCCTTCTCCACCCCTTTTCTTCCTCCCTTTCAACCTCTAATACTAGATAAGAGAGAAGAAAAGGATAGAGAGCAAAGGAAAGAAATCCCCGAATGAAGTCAGTATTCAGAAAGGGGGCACCGTTTCATTAGACTGCTTCATGCTGATTAAGAGCATTGAGTTCCTCGTGTCAAGTTTGATCTTCGCTGTCAGGATATCTAATTTCTTGTTGTTGTTGTTTCCTTGCACACAACTACTTAACAAACCAAAACCAACAACCAACCAACCAACAACCAACCAACCAACAACCCACCACACCTCTCAGGGCTCTAGCATTTACATACCCTCTTAAAAGACCCCAGAATTCCAAATGTCACACAACCACAGAAACTGTCTTTGCAGCTGGCAAAATCACGCCCCACCAGGGCATGAGAAAAATCATAGTCAGCTGCTATAAAGTAGGCCCATATCCCCACGCCTAGGATTAAAACAAAAACATAGTCCTATAAACATCTCTGCAACTTTCCAAAGAAACCAAAACTCCAGAATTCTCCCAGCAGACCTTGGTTTGTGTTTTGTGGGTTTCAGGGTGCTTTTGTCTCATTGGAAGTTGTGCCTTATCTGTAACACTGTTATGGTGCCAAATATGCACATCGTAAAAAATCTTCAAAAATGTTGGAGATTTCTTAAAATGGTAATTCTACCACCCAAGAGGAAAAATTGTTTACTGTGTTTTTTATGGCTTTTAAAAGTCTAGAGTTTTTTTTCCGTACACCTTCACCTCCCCAAATTACCTTTATGAACATTCAAGCAGTTGCTTACTGCTCCATAATGTCATCCTGAAGATCCCAGAGCCTTTTGTCAGAGACTGTTCTCAGTAATCATGTTGCTTTTTTAAAATTTATTACGATTTATTCACTTTGTATCCCAGCTGTAGCCCCTCCCTTGTCCCGTCCCAATCCCACCCTCTCTCCCTCCCTCCCTCTTCTCCCTCTTCTCCCATACCCCTCCCCAAGTCCACCAATAGGGGAGGTCCTCCTCCCCTTCCATCTGACCCTAGCCTATCAAGTCTCATCAGAACTGGCTACATTGTCTTCCTCTGTGGCCTGGTAAGGCTGCTCCCCCCCTGAGGGGGTATCAAAGAGCCGGCCAATCAGTTCATGTCAGAGACAGTCCCTGTTCCCCTTACTAGGCAACCCACTTGAACACTGAGCTGCCACTGGCTACATCTGTGCAGGGGTTTTAGGTTATCTCCATGCATGGTCCTTGTTTGGAGTATCAGTCTCAGAAAAGACCCCTGTGCCCAGATTTTTGGTTCTGTTGTTCTCCTTGTGAACCTCCTGCCCATCCAAGTCTTTCTATCTTCCCCTTCTTTCATAAGATTCCCTGCACTCTGCCCAAAGTTTGGCTATGAGTCTCAAGTAGCTCAGAAGCCCAGAAGACAGGGCACACTTTGAGATGTGGTTGTGTAATCCCTAGTCCCCGACAGCAGCAGGATAAGGGACAGTTTGCAGGGGCTTCCAGCCAAACACCTCCTAGGAAAAAACACCAAAAGATGATGTTCAGAACCTCTGACTGAAGGGAAATTTGGGGAACACCTGAAGATGTGAATTTGAAATTTTAGTAAATCATCTTTTTAAAATAAAATCAAATTTTTTGCTGTGGAGACACTGGAACAGGAAACTGGCATTGAGTACGGGACATGCAGGGTGAGAGGCATTTGTCCCCTTCCCCTCATTATCTACTACATTCTTATCATTCCTAACTGTGGCATCCTCTCCTGTGCAGCTTGTGTAGCACTGAAGCCCAGCACACTTTGGAGTTACATTGTTGGAGCTTCATTAAATGGAAGCCTGAATCGTATCACCGATAGGGATCTCTCTCCATTTTAACAGACCTTGCATGGCTTTTAGCTGGTCACAATGGCAGACAGAGAAGTGTGCCCAGAGGCCCAGTACATGCCAGTCAAAAGCCTCCTGTCACAACACTGCCTGTGGCTCCCCGAGCCCATAGCCGGTGACACAGAAGATGGGTGGAAACACAAGTCCAGGGCCAGAAGGCAGAGGGTTTCAGGTTTGGGTTCATGTTGCCCGGGATCCTCTGCCAGTATTTAAGTACTGGTTTAGCAGAAGTGTCTCTACAGCTGACAGAGGCCCTGGGCCAATAGATGCTGAGATCACTCTTGTTTCTCTCAGGCCGCACACCTGGTTCCTGGCTCCAAGCTGAGGCATCTGGGCAGAGCTCCGATGACATTAAAAGCAGAAATTCTCAGGTAACACCTCCCTTGGCTCTCAGTGTAAAGCCTGGAATTCTCTGTGCGGGGTGGTTCTCAACCTGTGGATCAAGACCCCCTTGGGGGGGTCACAAATCAGATACCTTGATATCAGATATATACATTATTATAATGCATAACAGTTGCAAAATTACAGTTATGAAGTAGCAACAAGATGATTTTATTAGCCAGCCAGGGGGCGCAAGCCTGTGATCCCAGCACTCATGGAGGCAGAGGCAAGTAGATCTCTGTGAGTTCGAGAGCAGCCTGGTCTACAAAGTGACTCCAGGACAGCCAAGGCTACAAAGCGAAACCCTGACTCAAAACAAACAGATAGATAGATGGATAGATAGATAGATAGATAGATAGATAGATAGATAGATAGATAGATAAAAATTATTGTTGGGGTTGTGGAGTTACCACAAAGGAGGAACTGTATTAAAGTGTCCCAGCATTAGGAAAGTCGAGGACCACTCTGCTCTACAGGGATTTCTTCTCAACAGCTTTACATTTCTTCTCTGACACCTTTTCCTTAAGAAAGCCATTTCTGTTAAAGGCTGGAATGAAACAGCTACGGTTTCAAACACCCTGGAAGAGAAGCAGCTTTATTCAGACCCCTTCGGTCGCATTGGTCCTCACTCTGATCATTTCAGAAGCCCAAGGAAACCCCCATAACATCTGAAACATTCAATTTTGTGTTCTCACTCACCTATAGAAGACAGTTCTTTGGGTTTTTCTTCCATCAATATTATAATTGATTTTGACCAAAATTTAATTGAAAATTTTATGCCCTTGGCTACATATAATTAATTGTCAAAGCTGGGATGGAGTGGAGACTGCATAAATACCCTTGTTCTTGCCCAAAATAACTCATACAGAGTCCTGGAAAGGTGATATCTCTCATGGCACCTGATACTGTCTCCCCTTTAGAAATCCTGTTTCTTTCTCCAAACACGTGAATTTAATCCTTTCCTGGCCTGCCTGTGTTTCCGAGTTCTGTATAACAGAGAGCAGGCTGGCTGGGTCATTCAGCAACTATCTGCCATGTTAAGGAAGTGGGCTGGCTGGGAAGGTGGTACATATAGTCCTGAGAGCTGCGGTTGCCTGCTGGAGAGGGATGCTTCCTTTGCCTGTTGGGCCACCTCCCTTTCCTAACACAGGTAATCCAGAGTCAAGATGACCACTCTCAGATGGTCACAGGCTGAAAACTGAGTATAAAAGTATACTCAGTTAAAAAAAAAAGTATAAAAGTTCATAAAGGGGAAAATGGAGAGAGCATAGATTTATGCAAGATTATTGACAGTTGGAGGAGAGGATTCTGGGATGGTGTTGAGTTAGGAGGTGCTGCAGTCTGCCACTCTGCCTAGGGTGCCAGCACTCTGTCGCAATTGTCTTAGAATTCTGTCATCAGCTGAGACTTAAAATGTCCAGGAAAGACTTGAGCCATAAACATCAGCTGGTTTTTCTCAGCTTCAGTTCATGAGACATCAGCAGTTAGCCATTTCCACCCACACCTCCATGACAGGCAGCCATGTGCATACCTGTGGAGAAAGTCGTACAACCTTGAGCAAGAAAGCTACCCATCCTCCAGATACTGGGGATCAGTGCTCCAGTATCTCCTCACCGTTTCAGATCACAGAGGTTCAGATACTGATGGCACTATCCATCCTCTTCTCACCTCCCCCAGGTGTGGAAGCCTCTCCTCTTCATGGTTAAAATGCATTCTGGGAGATCCTTTTCTTCCCTTCCCATTTTTCTGCTTCTCATTTAAGGATTCAAGCACTGATGATTAGATCTACAGTGGTCACAGTGATAAAATTCCTTACAGGAGCGGCTTAAGGAAGGAAGGCTTTCCATATTTGTGGGTAACTGAGCATCTTGCCCCTGTACTGGGAAAGCCCAGCTTGTTTTCTCCCATGTAATGCCATCCTCGACAGAAGCCTGGGAATGGTCCCCCCACCCCACCACTTTTAGGGTAGGTCTTCAACCTCCATTTATTTTACCAAAAAAAAAAAAAAAGCCTCATAAGAATGGCCAAAGGTTAACCTGGTCTAGATAACCAGGAATGCCCAGAGACCCATTGCCTAGGTGATTATGGATCATGGCAATTTGATAATGTCAACTATCTCAAGGAAACTTGAAGGTAAATTTATGCATGAAAAAATTTAGAAGGTTCTATGTTTAGAAGAAAAGAGAAGCACAGGAAAACTTCCAAGAATTTGAATTTATGCTTTGGGCAGGTTTTTGGCACTGGATAACCTATAACCATAAAGAAAGAGGTCAATAAAACAATAACACCAAAACAAAACCTGGAGAGAGCAGAGAATCTGATCTCCAGTATTGCTGTATTACTTTAGTCAAATGTATAGTTTTTATCAACAATACACAAATCAATAGGAAAGCATAGCCCCTTCCAAGAAGGAAGGGTAGGGAACAAAAAGTAACCCTGAAAATAAGAACTCAGGGTAGACCTGCTGAAGACTTCATAAGAGCTGTCAGAGCATTCAGCTAAAGGAAGATATGGGTAAAGGCAAGAAAATGGTGTGTGGACAAAATGGAAATATCAGTAAAGAGAATGGGAAGAGACAGAAAAAAGTTATGGAGCTGACAGATACAACTGAAATGGAGAAAAATAGAGAAAATGAAAGGCAGATCTAAACAGACAGAAAAGAATCAGCGAAGTTGGAGCCAAAAAAAAAAAAAAAAAGTGCTTAGTCTGAAAAAACAGAAAAGAAACAATTAAAAATGAACAGAGCTTGAGCCAGGCATGGTGGCCTTTAGTCCCAGCACTCAGGAAGGCAGAGGCAGGCGGATCACTTTGAGTTCAAGGCCAGCCTAGTCTACAGAACAAGTCCAGGACAGCCAAGGTCACACCATCTCATCGGGTGGGCAGACATACGCATTGCTGGATTTAGTGAAGGGGAGGGAGAGAAAGGAGTGAAAAGACTATTTGAAGAAATAACAAATGAAATTTCAAATTGGATGAACGTCTTGAATACAAGCACCTAAGAATTTAGTAAACTCGAGTAAGATGAACTGAGAGGGACGCCTGCCCAAAGCCACTGTGAGCAGCGTTGGAAGGGCAGAAGGAACCTCGAAAGCAGCAAGAATAGAATTGTCATGTGCACGGGGTGCTCAGCAGGACTAGCAGTTGTCTTCCGGTAGAGAGGTGAGTTAGGAGTGTCCACAGCATTCAGAAGAAAGAAGAACCGTAGCCAGGAGTACTGTATCTGGCAAGACTGCCCTTCAAAGGAGAGAGAGAGAGAGAGACCAGGTAAGCTTTAGACCTTCCCAGCCGCCTCAGGTCTCAGGTCCAGTACCCTCCTTGAGTCACATTTAATGTATAAAACCAAATAATGGCCTCCTTTAGACTTTGCCTCCAGGAAACGGTTGCTGATTTTTCCTTTGTGTAGAGTGTATCTATGAAGTTTCTTTATTTTTCTAAAATGAGTTTTTTATATTTATTTTTGTTTCATGTCAATGGGTGTTTTGCATGCATATGTGTCCGTGTACCAGATGTGTGCAGTGCCCACAGAAGCCAGAGAGGGTGCTGGATCCCCCAGAAGTGGAATTATAGTTGTGAGCTGCCATGTGGGAACTGCAATTTTTGAACCTGGGTTCTCTGGAGGAGCAGTAAAGGCTCTTAACCTCTGAGCCATCTCTTCAGCCCTGTATTTTCTAAAATGAATATGATCAGATATTTTTTTTTATGATCAGAAAAACAAAATCATCACCACAGTCCCAGTGCCTACATTTACAAAGCCTCTTCTGTCTTTCGGTTAGCTTCTATGTCTTCTCTCATTAAACCTTGGCCATAACGTGATGGTTCAATCCCATCACCCACAGAGGAAACCTTGTTGCAGAAGTCGAGTTATGCAGGGTGATGCTCTGACGTCTGTCCGGGGTTCCAACCGCTTCTCTAATGTACTAGAATCCCAAGCAGCAATAGTCATCCTCCCCAGCAGTGAGGCAGGGCTGTGTGGCTGCTGGGCTGCACCTGGTCTCCAGTCCCAAGACACACACACTCCTGAATCATCCCCTGATGATGGTTTTCATCTCTCCAGACCTAGATCTTCAGGCTTCTCGTTCATGGCTCCCAGCCATGGGTTGTCCATGTGGTCAGTAAAGAAGCCCCCAGTTCAGTGAAGGGGAAGTTGTAAAGTTGTCTTTAGGCATTCCAAAGTCAAGATACTTTACGTCTTGTTGGAAATCATGTTAGCTCGTTTTCACTACATTAGGACAGAAAGCATCACATGGGAAAAGCTCAGGGCTTGAGACAATAAAGAGCCAGGGAGTACTACCAGTATGGGCACAGTGGCCCAGGGCTGGAATGCTGAGGACTGTGGTCCATTTCCTTCCTTTCTATACCCTTCAAATGGTTTCTTCATCATGCTCTTTGCTTTTCCTGAGCTTCATGCCAAGTGAGTTGCTGAGCTGCATATGCTTGCTTCCTTAGATGTTTTATAAGATAGTATCAGGCCTCCACATACCATCAGCTTTGGGTCCCCCTCTACCTCTTCCCATTTTTAATCGCTGGGTTAAAAAAAAAACATAAAACAAACAAACAAAAAACAAAACAAAAAAAATCGAAAAACAAAAAACAGTTCCTTGGACATGAGGGAGTCACCTCACTTACAGGGAAAATCTGAAAATCGGAAATCCCAGCCCTGGAGGGTCTTTTGTGGGTAATGAGTCTTCTGATCCCTTTGCAGCAATGTTCTGTCATGTTTCAGCAGCTATCTCTAAAGGCGCTCCGGTGAGAAGATGGATGAAGCCAAGGTCCTGAGGTTCTTGACTGGACGGACACCAGGATAACTCGTCGAGACTCTACTATACACAATCCATTCATTTGACATACAGGCTCTGAACTGAGCATTTATTTATTGTAAATAATGATTTTGCACGAACCTTAAGGCACCATTTTAGTCAACTTTTATTTAAGTAATATTTTTTAAACATGCATCTTGGCATTTGTCTGTCTTATACAGACGGAGCCCTAGCCCACCCTGTAGTGTCCTCACTGTGATTATAAAATATGCTTGCAGGCTGGTCCTACCCAGATTCTGAAACATTTTCCAGAGCAGTCTTAGTTTTCAAGTACTCCAAAAGTCATAAATATCCACAAAAGCTTCTTATTGGCATGACTCTCATCACACCAACTGCAAAACCAAACCAAATAATGCCTTATAAACCACACAGCTCAGAGGAAGCAGTGTGCCCCAGATCCAGGCGGTGCCCCACAGCCTCCAGTGAGCGAGATGCCGTGTCTCGCTTCCTTTTTAGCAGTACAGGGATGACATTTTGCTGCCTAATGTAAATATATCCCAACGCAAAGGCTAGAGTGGGCCCGGCCCCTCGCATGCCTTCCCCACAGCCCCTTTTGTATCAGAATTATTTTACAAGTAGCCAATGCTCTTACTGTTTACAGCATCCCTATCGCCCACTCTCCATCACTTTCCTCCTGCCCCACCATGTTCCCAGCTCCATCCTGCTAGCCAGGGTAAAGTAAGCTTTATGAGATTTTGCTATCCTCCTCCCACCCTTGCAGACTGCAAATGTACATAGTTCGTGATCATGGTCAGCTTAGTTTTATCTCAGAGGTCTCCCTCCCCAAACCCCACCCTGAGTGTAGGATTTACATGGAAAATACAACATACATTTGAAAAGTAAAGAACAAGAGGAGGCTGGGGGAATAGACCTGCCATACAAGCCAAAGGATAGGCGTGAAAAGCAGGATGGAGTCACACACAGAGGCAGAGGCAGGCAGATCCCTGTGACTTGCTGTCCAGCCAGGCCCCAGGTCCCAGGAAGTGGCTGTCTCATCCAATGTGGCAACTCCTGAGGCCACAACACCCAAAGTTGACCTCTGGTCTCCACAGGCTCACTCCTCCATGTGTACACCCCCCCCACACACACACACACAGGAACATATGCTCCATATACAAACACACACAAAAGAACAAAGCGATTCTTGGAGTATATCTCAAACATCTGGCCCCATTCGTAGGAATCCCAGAAACCCCATCAGCCCAAAGGAGCTTCCCGCTGAGCAGGAGCAAAGATGGCTCTCTTGCCTAGGGCTGTGTACCTGGGGTGGCAGGCAAATATATGCAGAAGTTCAGCTGTCCTGAATAAACAAGAGGGCCAAGACAGGCTGGGACTGCTCTTTGAGCCTCAAGGGAGTGAAACATGCTCCAGCTTCCTGTCAGGCCCCAAATGCTCCCATCCCTTGGAGTGGAGAGGCTGTAGCAGAGGAGGGGGAAAAATAGAAGGAAAGAGTCTGATCCCTGCACTGTGCTCAGAATAGCTGCAGACAAGGGAGGGTGGGCAGAGAGCAATGGCGTGCTTTGGAGCATCCCACTCAGGCAGTCACGGCACAAGGATATTAGCCCATGCCAAGGCCACCCATGGGGGTTGGCCAGGGAGAGTGGTCGGCCGTGTGTCTGCAGACACCTGACTGTCGTTTGGAGCAAACGTCCTACCTTAGTGTTGTGCTTTCTCATTCCAGATAGGAGACAGAGCCTGGGTCAAGTTCCCACCTTGGGGCATGACTCAGGCCATTGTAACCACCATATCAATGGGCATGCAGCTTCTGTGTTGCTGATTCGTTGGGTTGGTTTTGGAAGTGTGCAGAAAGGCTCCACTCTCCTCTCAAAGTGATAATCATAAAAAGCTTTAATTACTGTGATGAGGGCCAGCAGTGAGGCAGCCCCCACCTTTGAGGGGCTGTAGACAGCTTGCCCATCTTGCTTGCTGGCACAGAAATGAAAACTCTTCAAGAGTGGTGGGGGAGATGTCTCTGTCGGTAGATCTCCTCCGACCCAATCATGAGGACTGGTATTCATATCCCAGGACCCACATAAAAGCCAGGTATGGGGGTGCATGTCGGTAACCCACATCCAGGGTGTTAGGTAAAGATAGCTGATCCCAGGAATGTCAGCGCCCAGGTAACCTAGCCAAATTGGTGAGCTGCAGGTTTAGTGAGAAACTCTAATACGAAGGCAGAGATAGACCCAAACCACACCTGTTATTGGCCTCTACATGCTTGTGCGCACATGTACTCATGCACACACATACACACACATACACACACATACACACACATACACACAGAAACACGTGTTTTCTTTTTAAAAAAATATTTGAGGACAGAGGGAAGGAACAAGCAGAAACCAAAAACAGCAAACAAGGAGCAATCTCAGGGATCTGGCCTAGCAGCTCTCCTCAAAACCTGTCACTGAGCCCCTCCCCCCTCCAAATTCAAGTGGGCACACTCAGTTCCCACCAGCAGTGTACAGGCTGGGCCCCTGACCGTGAACTCACATGCAGAGGCATCCCCGTCCACCCTCACGTTACAGACTGTGACTCCCCCAATGTCTCCTCTGTATTTTATATTTACTGCTATCTCCCGCTGCCGATTCATTCCTTTGTACCTAATAAACTTTAATAAGTGAGAATGTTAGCGGTGCTTTCCCTGTGCAAACCCATCTGTGATCAGCAGTCCTGATCTAAGCCTTTTTGAGTGACGTGATGATTTCAGGTTTCTGGAATACAGTGTGAGGCTAGGGTGCGGGGAGGCAATGTATCAGACTTGAGTACTAAGATACATTCTTGAGAATACAAGCAGCTTGGAGGATAGAGATTTCTGGAACACCAGGAATAGCACCTTTGAATATATTTGCATTCATCTCCATATTCTACAACGGACAGCCGTTTTTGTTTCTGCCAGGAATGTATGATGTTTCCATCGCCCCAACGTGGCGGTTGATTCTTGCTGCTGCTGTCCCCATAGCTGTTATAGTTTGGGGTTTACTTTTTGTTGTTGTGTTTTTGTCATTTCTGTTAGTTGCTGCTGTTCCTCTTTTTCGAGACAGGGCGTCTCTGTGTAGCCCTGGCTGTCCTGGAACTCACTCTGTAGACCAGGCTGGCCTCCAACTCACAGAGATCCGCCTGCCTCTGTCTCCCGAGTGTGGGGATTGAAGGAGTGTGACGCCATGCCCAGCTGGGCCTCTTCTTGAACAGTGAGTTTGTCTTCGTGGTGGCACACAGTGTAAGGCCTGCCGAGATGACTGTGTTTTCTAAAGATTCCAATTAGAAGAGCATGGCCCTTCCAGGCGTTCGCTTTGTGACTGGCGCCAGCTATACTCACGACACACAAACAAGAGGAGGCTCCTGGGCACTGGCTTTGATGTTTTTATTGTACACATGGTGCATTGAAAGACACTCCCAAGGGCAAGCACTAGATAGGGACATAATTTGATTTGTAGATATTTGTACAAAAGGCTGTTAAGACCTCAGTCGGTCTCCCCTCCCACAGGAAACAAAGGTTTTCTGTTCTACGGCTGCAGCTATGGCATTTCAGTTCTCACAACATGATTACACGTACTCACTGATTCCCGAAAGAATTCTGTGTGAGATATTCCAGGATGCTTGGCTTCAGTCAGATAAAACCCATTTTGACACACACCACAGAACAGGAACCTGGACTCGGTGCCATGTGGAATGGAACAGCACAGCTAAGGGAGGCACAGGAGAGCGCCTGGATGTTTGCCCTGCACCTCCCTGGGTTTTCTCCCAGAGCTGACCTCTCAGCTGGAGATCTTTGCAATAAAAGAATGCAGTCAATGATTTCAAGACATCCACACCTGGCTTCCCCGGGGGCCTTCCAGAGTGACGTCACCTGGTCACCCGTATCAGTGTGAGATGGCATTAGTTTGTGTGGTTGACAGTTATTTTTTATAGCTACTGAACACCTGACAGTAAGGGAGTGTCACCTCTGAGTTCCACTAGGCACATGCCTGCCTCGTTCTGTGGGGCTGACTCCTACAAACACTGGCTCTTCTGCTGGGCAGAGCCTCCACAGCTTGGATCAGATCCTTATTCTCCCACAGCTTCCAGACATCCCCAAGACTGATTACAAGCTAGTTTACAACAAGTCCACTCAAGTGTCTGCCCCCCCACTCCCCCACCCCCTGCTGTGATGCTGTTTTCACTTACTGGAAAGCCCATCCAGAAAGACTAGCTAGCTTATGTTAGGTTCTATGGGACAGGCGGGGGCAGGCAGCCTGTCCCTAATAGTCATGACTTCTTGCTGCACGAAGTTTGCCCGGGATCCCTTACCCTCAAGGCTTAGGGTAGTCTTCTGGAAAGTCATTTACAGAGTGATCTTAAACATTCCATTTGTTTTTTTCATCTTGAATATCCACTTTCTCCATGTTGTTCAGAAAAGTGACCCCCGGTTAAGCTATTACCCACATGAGAAACATCTCTTCAGAGAGAAATCCATTAGAAGCACTTTAAAACAAATATTCTCCTGCAGCTGCCTACTCAAAATCCAGTATCATTTCTGCTGTTAATTTAGATCAAGTCACTAAAGTCCATACAGGCATCTGGACAGATTCCCTACTTGCCTTTTATCCGTTTCCACCCATCCCAGAGCAGAGCTTGGATTCTCAGCTCTTATCCACTGCCTGAGGGGGAAACCCAGGCCCCTTGCCCAGACCAGGTTGCCCACAAAATGCTGCTGTGCCCTCTAGTGGTAAGAGGGCAATATGATTGAGCTGTATAATGCTCCAAAGAAGGGATAGGCTTTTCTCTGTGATGCTGGAATAGGGGCAAAACATCCAATAACAGAAATAGCTGCTGTGTTTTCCAGCGTACACCTGAGTAATGACATCGAGTTGGTACAGCCATCCACAACTTTGGCCAAAGTAGTGAAAGAAGGTCACTGGGTCATTTGCTTTCACTAGACTTCTCATCAAACCCTGAATTGCCTTGGCTGTCTCAGGCTGGTCTCATGAGCAGTTCTCAGACACGGAGATGAGACCACACAGGGAAATCATGGGATGATTTTCTGCATCACCTTACTTAAATAACTGAGCAGATGAGGCTGGACAGGCAACTACTCTCCCCTCAGATCTAACCCTTTGCATCTGCCGGGCACTGTTCTACCTATGTCCCTCTGTTCATCGGCAATAGATGTCAGTGTCAGCCCGCTTAAAGCTCCTGACAACTGCAAGCCGCCATTTGTTTGTCATGAATTTGTCTCATCTCTCATGCTTTGCCATTTGTTTATATGTGGAACCCACAAAACAGTCAAGAAAAGGGCTCACAACACACACGCTCTCGCTCTCTTAAGTGAGAGTCAGGAGGGATGGCCTGCATCACATTGTGAAGTAAGGGCTCAGATCCCTGACATCCCTCACAGCCCATGATGCTGCAGCTAAATCTGGGGACCCTAAGCCATGCCTAAGCTCACTCACTGATGGACAGTTTCTGTTTGCTCAGCCCTGTCAAGAATAAGGACATATAATTGGGCCCCGCAGCACACCCCACTGGCTGTTCCTCCAATCTCTACTCATGGCACTCATCTTTACTCCCTTGGCCCCTTCAGCAGTGGAAAGGGGCAGTGGAGAAGCACCCAGACGGCTGACCCATTCTAGTCAGCAGCCCAGAGGCAGCTGCTGGGCCGGGCGGCATGAGAACTAAGTGGGGCGATGCTGCAGCTCAGGCGCTCAGCACACTGATTTGTGGGATCTAGTTAACCAGGCGGGGCAAGGCTGACTGTCCTGTAGATAAATGTTCCACACAGCCTTCGTTCCTCTGCCGTCCCTGTCTTCCTTACACACTCCAGTGGAGTCAAATCCCTTTTGCAAACACGATGACTCTGGAAACAAATGAGTTTAATTCAGCCTCTGCTGAGACAGTGGCTGCTCGGAACGCAGGTACATTAGCTACGCTCTCAGCAGTCAAGAGCATCCCTTTCTTTCCTTCATTGGCTGAGATCTGCAGTTGTGTGAACTCTGCCAGGACCATTTGGTGAATCTTATGCAAGTTGCTGCCAATCAAATACCAAGTCATTTCTACAACAGGGTCCCGTCTTCGGGTGGGTGCAGCGCCGGGTGGGGAGGTCCAGCTAACATGGATGCCCTGCTTTCCTGCATGCAGAAGCAGGTCTGGTCCACTGCGCGTGAGCACTGGCTCACAGAACACAGTTCCTTCAGACAGCTCGAACACTAGGGCAGGGCTGGGACTGCAGCCAGGGATCCCCTGCTCTTTCCCATTGGCTTTTTTTCCCAGGACATACCTGTGGGGCTCTGAGTTGCACACAGGCCTAAGTTCTGTGGAGAGAAGCTGAGGTTTCTCCCCCATCTACTCACACCAGGGCCTTTGGTGTGAACAGAAGCCTTTTGTTAACCTTGAAGAAAACACTATCTAGAGAGGGACCGGGACCTTCACAGCTCGTGGCTTTCCCACCAGTGTGGCCCTACAGCCCTGTCCAAGGCCGCAGGAACTCTAGTTCTTCATAAGAAGCTAAGGTGCCCATTGTAACTGAAATACAAGAACATTTTCAAGCACAAAGCTTATCATACAATGGAGCAAGAGGCAAGTGGGATCGAGTTACATAGCAAAGGCGGGGTTGGTAAGCTGAACAGAGGGAACATTTAGACACAAGGAGGCCACATGGTAACTCTCATTTTACTCGAACAGAAGAGCATTTATCTGCTGGTAATTTAGTTGGGTGGGAAGTTTTAAGTAAGGGCGAAGGTGCTTACGTCACTTAAAGAACTTCATCTCTGTGTCCACACAGTCATAAAAAAGGTCCCCCACCTCAGCGGGGTCCAGGGGCTCAGGGCTGCTCAGGATCTCTTCCATGGCTTCCAAACCTTGCTTCTCTAACTCCAGCATGGTCTTCCTCAGCGTGCGGCCTTGCTCCTGAGGAAGGACACAGCCATGCAGTACAGTGTACATCATGCCAGTGGACAAGGACAGCCCAGGGTCCAGCTGGCTTCCTGCCCTCAGTACCACCTACGCCCTCCACTGACCCAAACCACCACCAGAGGGGCCACCCTACAATGTGGTTCTACCAGCCAGCTCAGAACGCTTCCACGGCCACGAGCTGTCTGAATTCAGGATAAACCCAGGCTACTGAGTGGTAGTCAGGACACACTGGCCTGTTGTCTTGTCTATCTATCCTTTGTCCATATGCACTGCTACGTATTCTCTCCCCATTGCCCAGGTGACCATGCCCCCAGGGGCTCTTCCTGCATCTCAAGCTGGCTGCTAAGCTTGGTAATATCTAAGAGTCTCTCATGTGATACTGGCTTATGCAGTGTGGAGGCTGCAGGATTGAAGGGGTCTTGGAGAGTGGCTGAGGTCTGGCACTGTGAGGGGCCATTGGTGAAGATACAACCTCAGCTTCGGTGAAGAGTGGAGCACATTGGAGACCACTACGGACAGCAGCAGGTGTGGAACAGAGTTGGCCTGAGCCTGTGGCAAGCTGGGGACATTAAAGATGGCAGTGCCTGAGAAATAGAGTTGCCCACACCCTTTGGAGCTCAGAAAATTGTGAGTCCCAGATGCCAAAGCAAGTTTGATTTACCCTGCTACATGTCAGTTTTGCTTTGATTTGATTATAACTGTGCACCGGTTCTTTCTTTCTTTATTTTTTTTGAAATAAGA